CAGTTTTGCTGCTGACAACCAAAACCAGCTGATCACATGCTCAAGAAGGACCATCAGCCTAACAATGGATCATTAGCACACTGATGGCTGTTTACTGTTCACAGAGGGCTGAGTGATACTAGCAATCACAGCATTGTAAGAGGGGGACAGTTGAACCCGGAGGCCTCCACCCCTGTTTAACGATGGACGGTTTCTTTTCACAAAGATGGCCTCCTTTACTCCTCTCAAACCATCGTTCCTCTCTGTCCAGGATGTGAACATCTTCATCCTTGAAAGAGTGACCGCTGGCCTGGAGATGAGTGTAGACCGCAGAGTCCTGGCCTGATGATGTTGATCTTCTGTGCTGGGCCATCCTTTTGGCCAGTGCCTGTTTAGTTTCCCCGATGTAAGACTGATCACAGCCCTCCTGACACTGAACAGCATACACAACATTACTCTGTTTGTGCCGAGGGACTGGATATTTTTTTTGAATGTCCAAAGGACCAGATTTAACTTTTTTAGCCCTTTGGTTCTTTTATCTCTCAGCTAGCCTTTTATATTAAACTTTTTGCTAGCCCTTTGTTTCTTTTATCTTTTAGCTAGCCTTTTATATTAAAATTTTAGCTAGCCCTTTGGTTCTTTTATCTTTCAGCTAGCCTTTTATATTAAACTTTTTGCTAGCCTTTTGTTACATTTAGGTTTCAGCTAGCATTTTGTTAGCCAGTTTTTTTTTTTACATTTAGCTACTTTTAATTAGTGTTGTTTTTAGCTTTTAGCTAATGTTCTGCTTTTTTCAATCATTAAGTTTCAGCTTCTTCAGTGAATTTCAGCAGTCGTGTGTTTTTGCAGGAGCAGCAGTTTCTCTTGTTGTTTCAGATTTTTTTTCTTGGTGGTTTTAATCAGTTGAATATTTAAACACTTTTTAAGAGTGTTGTCCTAACTTCATAAAACTCTACTATACATATAATTTAATAATCTGTTGAGAATGAAAAGTGAACACCTTTTAGGTTTTTTTGTGACTTAATAAAATATTTTATTTAACTACTTGTTTTTAAAAAGTGTCAAATCGTTTAATTGAGAGTTTTTCCTCAATTGAAATTCAAATGTTTACTTGTTTTAATTTTGAATACTTGTTAACAGTAAAAGTTCTGAAATGTTCTTTTTTATCTGTTATTCCTTGTTTTAGTTTGAACTTCACATCAGCTATAAAAGTATTTTTTGTTGTTTTTCTGTTTTTGTAGAAAATATTAAAAAAGTCACGAGGATGAAGACGACGAAGAGCACCATGCCAGTTCCTCTGTTCCTGCTGCTGTTTGGACATTTACATTTGAAATAGTTTTTGTTCTCTTTCCTGCACGCCCACAGTCTGTACCTGTTTGATTTAATTTTTTATTTTGTTTCCTATTAAATCTTTGAAAATGTCACACAGGCTTGAATCTTGAGCTTTTCTGCCTCGCAGCCTAAATGTTAAAATAAATTCACTCAACAGACATTACTGCTTCCCAAGTTATATTGTACAAACTTAAAAATACAACAAAAAAAATTGAGTAAAAATCTTAATATTTCTGAAGCTGAAGAGTTCAGGGCCTGAATCAGATTTGTGTTTGTGGATGGGACTCTGGCATCTCGGCTCGCGCTCCGATCTGCTTTCTGTCTTCAGCTGCACGCTTCACGGCCTCTTCGAATTCCTCCTCTTCGTCACGCCACACAGATTATCTTCACTCTGAGATGATATCCCGCTAATTCCTTTTCACCACACGCTTCTTCACCAGATATCTTCCCTGAAAGAATGAAGTTTTTTAAATTGTTTGTGCTGTAATTAAACACTGTCCTGTGCTTCACCTGAGCCTGGTGCCAGACATGAAGCACTCTCTGGTTTGACACGTTCTGCTGAATCATTGTAAACCTGTGGAGAGTTGGACATTAGAGGAAACGACCGAGCTTCAAGCAGACAGTTCAGTTGTGTTCGCATCTGAGAGAAAACTTGTTCTGACGCTCGGGTCCATATGGTTCATATTGGTCCTGAAGTAAAACTTATTTTGTACTCGGCTCTGAAACGCTCAGCTTTCTTGTCCATTTTTGTCTTTTCTCATCTTTTTTTTTTTTTTCCTCGGAGGCTCTTGACATTCCTCAACCTCTCGGGGTTATTTTCTTGCAGAATCTGATCTGGCACCCCGACGAGCATCGCCGTGTCATGTTTATGTTCCCTGTCAGATTTAGGAGCGGGGGCTTCGTGGAGCCACCTCTCATCTTCCTGTGATTCACATCGTTTTATTTTTTTAAACCGCCTCCAAATATCTGATAACACATCTGTGTGTGTTCTCCAAACTATCTCACCTCTCTTTATCTCCTTCCTGTTGCTGCAAGGTGTAAGGCATCACCAGCAGTGGAGCTGAACATTTTCACCCTCTTTCTGGGCTTTGAAGGCACCGTCTGCAAATGTACTGCCCGCGGGGTGATGGATGATGTTACTCTGCAGCAGCTGGACACCTCCAGGCTCCACTTCAGTGTTGTTTTATTGTCCTTCAGTCAAGGTTTGCTCTTGTTCTTGAGGGATTTGAGACTCCCCAGTCAGCGTGTTGCCTGTTGGATGTATGCAGGTTCTTCCACTTGGAGATTAAAGCACGAGGCCTGGTCCAGCTCCTCTGTCTGTGTGCATCCTCTTAAATCAGGTTCTCTGAGATAAATCAGCTCCGGAGTTCAATCTCATGCTGATTCTTCCAGAGAAGCTAACATCTCTGCTTCACAACCAAGAACGAGCTGTGAAGGATGTAAAATGTGCTTTTATGTCTCGCTGTTCTCACACTCTCCAGCATCATCAGTCCAGGAGCAACACCGAAATAAACATGCTTTATTACATTTGACCTTATAGGGTGGACAAAAAAAAATCCTAAAATGGCAGGTTTAGAAAAGATTTGAGACCAAACACACACACAAAAAAAAATCCTCTGTGTGACGACAGTTCAGGTTTGTTTGAGGGAACTGAAGCAGCGAGTTCCTAAAACATCTGATAACGCACCAAACAACAAACCTGGAGGACAGAAGTCTTCACTGTCTGCCAGCGGGGTTTTTTTTTTTTTTTTTTTTTTTTTTGTGGGAATTGCGAGTTCTTTCTGACCCATATTCTCCAATTTTGATTTCTCGTCTGAAGGTAGTCAAATCATCCGGTAGTTTTTGTTTTTAATTTCGTGAACCCAAATATGAAGAGAAAACACGCTGTGCTCGCTCGTGTCCTGAACAACTTGAACATTGAAAATAAAGGTGGAAGTATAAAAGGGACACTCGGTTTTTTATTCACTTTTATATAATGAGACAAACGTTTGGAGTTAAGTGCTTTAAAATGCTTAAATTTTTCATTTTAATTGGATTAAAAAAGACTGTTTTTGGAAACAGATTTACCTTTGAAACAAGTCTCATCAGGATCTTGACATTTATTTTAAAGGTTTATTTGCCTTTTTTGGTCATTTAATTCAGCAGCCATTACTATAGCGTTTTTAAAAAAGCTTTCCAGACGTGTCTCAAACCTGTTGTGTACCTTTTTTCCGACTGTTTTTTAGGCATTTACCGGTAATTCTCAGCTAGCTTCAGGAGCCTGAACTCATGGTTGATGTTAGAGAAGCAGGAAGATTTAAATGAAAATATTTTTTGTTAGGAATCCTAAGTGCGATCGTGCATTTATAGTACTCCCACCATAACAATAGAACTCAGATCATTTAAAGCGTGGTTTTGTGGAAACGTTAACAATAAGTATCCTACCTGTTGTAGATGTCTGAACAGCTCTGTTGAGTGATGGTTTAATCAAGACTGGATTTACGAGCTAATGGACGAGCATTTTAAGTAGAAACACTTTTCAAATCTGGTAATTATTTAACTTTACTTAAATTATTTAACAGTGGAAGCCCTGAAACTGTCAGTAATAACAAGCACACCCACAAACCATTGTTTCAAAATAAACTGCAATGGTAGAAAGACCGTCTTTTTTTTTAGGTCATTTTAATTATTTAAACATCACTGCCCAGCAGGACTTGGACTAAAGTGTTTTGCTGCTATAATAAAACAACTCCAATTTAAAAAGATTAGTGGCAGCAAACACTGCTTTTATTAAACTTTATCACCTTTAATTCTGTATTATGTGGTTATTTTGTGTTCAACTTCCAGGGTTTTAGGTGGAAAGGAACCCCAAATCTAAAAAAAATGAACTGAATTATTGGAACTGAATTGGGACAAATGAGGATAAATATTTACAATGGGATGATTCATCATTAGAAAAAAATCCACATTGATGTTATTCTGCTGCAGAGGAAGAGACCCTGTCGGTGTAATAATGGCTCAGAAGGAGGGTTTAGGACGAAGGAGGGTGGGAGTGTGAACATGTGCAGAAAAGAGAGCTTACCCAAACTTTGGATTAGATCGGGGCTGCGACTACCGTATGATGTTTCTCCTCTGTTTGCATTCTTCATGGCATTCTGGCAACTCAAGTGATCTCATGGAAAGCTCGAGGGATTTTTCCTCCAGAAAACATCTTTGCTCTTCTCCGCTGGATTCTCTGTACGAGTACGTCTGAATACCTACTGCAGAGCACCGCCACAACTCTGACATGCGTCTTATGGGATTCGGGGTGTGAATGCTCTGAATGTGAAGGAAAATGCGAATATCGTCCTTGATTTGGATTCTGCACCTAATGAATCTTTCAAAAGGCCAAGAGGGCACGAATGTTCCGAGATGGAAACGTAAGTATCATCCAGTCCTCCGGGACTTGTGATTTATCTTTCCTGCTGAAGACAGAGTAGACAGAGACTACATATGGAGACAATAAGTGTACAGTTCAGCTTGCAGGGAACAATGTGGTCATAGATTTCCAATGGATTTACCCTCTTGCACATTGGGAGTTTTAAAGCTGAGGTCACGGTTTGTAACACCAACATTTGCATGGTATAAGCATGACAGTAGTTTTATTTAGAAGCAGATATTTGCACAAATGCATGTTTGAAAATGTGTTCCCTCTTTGCTGCAGGTAGTTCTTCAGTGAGCAGCGACTGCCAGGCAGGATGTGCAACGTGCTCTGCACTGAACGGCTGTCTGTCTTGTAAACCTCGGTTCTTCTTCCACCTGGAGCTGGACGGGATGCGGCAGAGGGGGACGTGTCTTTCGTCCTGTCCTCGAGGTCACTACGGCACGCGCTCGCCACAAATCAGCACCTGCACCAGTACGTACCAGCGAACGCGTGCAGGAGCGTTGGGTTTTGTTGTCGTTGAGTGTCGTTGCAGTTTTCAATTGTTTTTCAGCTGTTCTTTTTGAGAAAAAGATTTATTTAAAAAAACATAATTGCCAAAAAACAAACAAACATGATTTTGGTGCACATGTTTAATTTGGTTTGAGGTGTCTGAACCAACTGAGCCAAACAGGTGTGTGCAGTTCCTTCACGTTCTGTTGTTTCCCTTACAAAGTTGTGTAAAATGTAATTGACAGAACTTTGGTCTGGCCCACACATTTCAGTCAGACAAACATCTAAAACACATGATGGAGCTCTCAGGTCCAGGGAGCCTCTAGTCATTATGTTCAAACATTTTTCCTTACACCTTTAGTTTAAATGTGATCAGCTTCAGACGCTGGTTGGGTTTCCAGGCGTTGATTTTGGAACATGGACTACTTTCTTAAAACCATTATCTCAGCCAGACGTGTAAAACATGATAAGACTGTCTAAAGTGAAACTGGTTCCAACAGCTTCTGATTAGGTTTGTGTGTATGTAGTTTAAATTCTCTATATTTTTTTTCATTCAACCTTTATTTAAACTGGTTAGTCCCAATGAGCCACGAGGAAAATTCTCTATACAGTAATTCCTCGCTTATGGCAGGGCATATGTTCTAGACACCCCAGCGATAGGTGAACATTTGCAAAGTAAAGATAGATTTATTTTAATATTTATATTTTATAGCTTTATAAACCCTGCCCACACTCTTTCAATGTTCTAAACACTCTAAAAGAGCACAGCGTGTCATGATCTCTGCCACGCCCACTTCTCCATCACAATCACACTCATGCTCATCACCTGTGTCACTCCCAGTCTCCCTCCTGCTCCCCAGTCTCTGCCAGTTTGTCTGATTGCCTCGTGCCTGAAGCGTCCAGCATTCTTGTTCCTGCTCTCGTTTCTAAAGGTTCGGTTCAGGTTTCGCTTGATTATTTTAAATAAACAATCCATGCCCGCTCACTCAGGTATAAGACGGAACACCCCCCCCCCCACCACCACCACCACCATTTCTTTTTCCGAGGCTGTCTGTTGCGCTCCCGCCTGTTGTGTGTCTCTAGGACACGATGACAAAAGATAGACCCCACCCCCTCCTTTCTCTTTCTCTGCTGTGACAGACAGCCTCGGAAAGAGAAAGGAGGGGTTGTGGGAGGGGTTTGTCTTATACCTGAGTCAGCCATTCTTTATTTTTTTGTACAATCTTAAGTAGAAAACCCACAAAAGAGTGAGTCCGCGAAAGTCAAACCGCAAAGTATCGAGGGACTACTATAGCTAAGTTCAAGTTTACCGTGGCAGACATGTTGGTGCATGGAAACATTGATCACAGTTGTATGTTTTTGTTGCATGAACCTGCAGTTGTTGAGTTTTCAGTGTTCAGTGCTGAAACAATGGGCAGTGTTACGGACTTCATGTTGTGGTCACTCTTCATTTCTATTAACCTGCAGAGTGCAATACAGACTGCGCTTCCTGCTTCAGTGAAAATTTCTGCACTCGCTGTCATCAGGGCCACTTCCTGTTCCGAGGGAAATGTGAGCACAGCTGTCCAGATGGGCTGGCGGCGAACGCAGCTCTGCGAGAATGCATCGGTAAGAGACCGTTCCCCAGAAGTCACGCAGCGCGGCTTGAAAGCTTTTACGTCATCTTCCATTTTTCTTTGTGTCTGTGCCAGAGTGTCCTGCAGGCTGTGAGCTGTGCACGAGGAGGAGCGTGTGCACGAGGTGTAGGGCAAACATGTACCACCTCCACGACCAGTGCCACCACACCTGTCCTAAAGGCTATGAGCCTTACGAACCACTAATGAAGTGCGTCCCCCAAAGTGAGAAAAACCCCCATTTCTCTGATTTTTATTCCTCCATTTCAACAAGTGCTTTTCTCTCACTGTTATACGGGTTTTCAAGTTCACTGTCAGGTTGGAGAATGGACAAGTCGGGGTCCTTGTGTTCGGAAAAGGGGCAAGTCTGTCCACAGGAGGGGAGAGGAAACCCGCACCAGACAAGTCCTCCTCTCCCCACATATCTTTGGTGACCCCTGTCCAGACCTGTCAGAGAGCAGGAAGTGTGACATTAAAAAAAGACGAATAAATTGGTTGTCATAAGCTGGAAAAAAAATATATTGCAGAGAAGATTTGGCAAGTTCTTTTATGGGTGCAACCCACATACTCTGCTGCTCAACCCACAAATGGATCTTCCTCACAAATGTGACGACGTCTAAAGGAAATAAACGGGCTTTCCAGCGGGATAAGATTTATTGACAAGGCACATTGTTACAACAATTAACCCGACGTAAGATCCCGTTTGTGTTTACATTAGAAAAAGCTGAAAAAGTTTGCAAACCTTTCCAATATGAGAAGAGGTATGCAGCTGAAATATCAGATTTTCCAGTGCAGTCAGTCCAATCTGAGTAAGATGGGTGTTTCACAAGAGTTATTTTTGCTGCAACGTTTGGCCTTATCTGAACCTCCACTGTTAGCATTGCTGACATGTTTTGTGAAATAAAATCCTTTCTGTTCAGGTTATTTCTCACTGCATCATTTAGAGGGCTCTAGCGCAGGTTTTAACACATCGCAGTGAAAAATAATATATCTTATTTCTACTCAAGTTTCAGAATACTGTGTTGTTTTTTCTACGCTAACCTTCTAAAATCTGCTGTTGACGTCCAAACCGATGTATATTGGCAAAAGTTTTTTGGAAAGTAAAAAGTGATCAGCAGTACAAATCTCATTTTGCTTGAAACATTTCCGGTCCATAACTAGGCAGCACGACGGCTCAGTGGTTAGCACTGTTGCCTCACAGCAAGAAGGTTCTGGGTTCCATCCCCTGTTGGACCTGGGGTCTTTCTGTGTGGAGTTTGCATGTTCTTCTCATGCTTGCGTGGGTTTTTTCCGGGTACTCTGGTTCCCTCCCACAGAACAAAAACATGACCTCCCTTGCAAAAGAGATCTGTGATCTCAATGGGATTTGCCTGGTTTAATAAAGGTGACCGTAATAATAACAATAACAATAACTTTGTAATTCTGTTTGTTTATAATGTAAATGCTTTTGAAATTTGTATTTTTACATGTTTATTTTAAGTCTGTCCTCTAAGAGTGATCATCTACTTTACATTTCTCCCACTTATGTCAGTGTTTCTTCAACCAAAGTGGGAGCTTTTGGACAGAAGACTTCAGTATTTGTACAGATTGTAAAGCCAGGGGGCCATTTTTTAACATTTGTGGTGATGTAATATTAAAAAACTTGCAAAATTATGAGTTCAACTATTTTTATTTCCATTTATTACTGACTAATCAGCCCCTCCATACATTGTCTCTGCACAGCTGTTAAATGTATGGTATGGTATGGTATAAAGTTTATTCATTTTAAAAAAGTACAAAACAATTCCATAACAATATAAAAAAGATACAAAAGATTTAAAATGAAAGGCAGCAGAAAGAAGAAAAAAATCTTATTATATCTGCCCCTTTTTTCAAACAATTATTTCAATCATAATAATTTTCAAGTGACAGAACAAAATGAATAACTTTCTATTTTTTCTAATTCTAATACAAAGCACACACTAAGCTACTTCATATATACTTTTTTAACAATTCAGCTTTGATCTTTTTCTTAAATGTGAAGGGGTTATTGAGAACCGGCTTTTGGGTGCCATGGGGTTAAATATCCAGTGAAGGAAATGCAGTATGGTGTCTACATAAAAAGTAATGACACCAAGAACTTGACTCTAAATGACAACAATAAGATGCAAATTGCATCTAATTAAAACATGTAAGAAGCTAAATGCTAGCTAACCAGCTTGTTAAAAGTAGCAAAGACAAGCTAAATGTACTAAAAGGCTTGCTAGATGCTAAAATTACCATTAGGCCACTAAAATTAACTAAATGTTTACTAAATCTATGCAGGAAAAAGCTATCTGAAATACCCAAAAGCCTAACTAAAAACTAAAGTTCATAAACTTAAATGTAAAGCAGTTTCTAAAGTTATTTTCAAATGTATAACGGCACCCATCTCATTATGCTCAACATTTTTATATATGATTTGGTTAAAATGGCACAGAGTGTGCAGAAATAGTGAAACAAAACAAAAAAAAAAACATGCTTAATAAGCATTCTTACAGGTCAGATAAAGCAACACTGCAAGCACAACTGTAGACAAAATAAATTCAGATTTAATTAGGCTACTGTAAAAAAAAAATGGACATCTGTGAAGGTAAACACGTTGCAATTGTCAACTTGTTTGAGCACCTCAAAGACAAATGTGCACTTGCATAAATTCACAGGTTTTGCAACATATTTACCTTCATATAAAACTGTTAGAATGAATAGTAGAAAATTAACCAAGTGAACACTTGATATAAGTTTCAGATTTTCACGACAAAAGCTGCACAAGATATGAAAATGAGTAAACTGTGAAAAAAAAAAAAAAAAACCGGGTGTAAATGTCCAGATCCTTATAAGATAAATTTACATCAGTTAAGTTTGTAAACTGGAGTAAAAATAAAAACTAAATGTAACTAAGATTTCAACAAAAAAGTTTTAAATCGTGTCATCTGAACCAGTTTCTTTAAGTGAGAAACATTTTGACGACCATCCAGAGGACTTCATCAGTCTGAGGCCTGCCAACCAGGTCTTGTCCCATAGGTAGCCTTCGCTGCTGTGTTTCAAGCCAACCTCCTGTTGGAATCTCAGAAGTAGACTTTTAACACGTGAAAACAGAGCATATCCATCCAAAACAATCATGAACCACAATCAAATGTTTTAGGCCAGATGGCTAACTTGCTACTCGCAGAAACAGCCTGAGGACAACCAAGGCCAAAGTGGTTCAGAAAAAAGTTTGTATGCTCATCCAGGTATATAACAACAAAATGGTAAAATCGTGTCATCTGGAACAGTTTCTTTAAGGGTTGGCAGGCCACAGACTAACGAAGTCCTCTGGATGGGGTACGAAACGTTTCTCACTTAAACTGGTCCAGATGACACGATTGAACCTTTTTTGTTATCTGGAGTTTAAGATTAGACAGTATGGTCTCCACTGCGCATGCGCAGTACTTCCAGTCTGTCGGAATGCGCGAGGTCGACCCAGTTAGAACTGCTTAAACCTCTGCAGGGTTTAAAGGCCGCACAGTGGGTTTAAATAACGCTGCAGCATTGTTACTGGTCGGCATATATTTCATAAGAAGGTTAAGTCATATCATCTGGACCAGTTATATTTTATAATTATCAGATATGACCGCGGCAGTATAAATATCAGCACCTCAGGACGCTGTTCAGGTGAGTGAAGAAAGTAAAATCTTAGCGTACCGGTAGCTAACAAGCTAACAATATGCTAACTAGAGCTGCGAAGTTAACGTTTGCTTGGAGGTTATTTATTCTCAGTGGACTCATTTAGTAACTTTAGTTTATGAAATTAAAATACACGTAAATGCAGGTAATTTAAAATGTAAAAAAAAATCTATTTTTTTCGTGAGCTAACGTTAGCTTAGCGGAACGCTAATGGGCGGATAAGTTAGCGCTGTCAACTGGTGGTGCCTTTTTTCGGAGTCCTTTGTTGCAGGGGACAAATGATGGGTTCTTGAGTGTTTGTGGAAATTTGTGTAAAATAACAAACAGTTGATACATTTCATTGTATTCACACTCGAGGAATAAAATCGTAGTTGTCCCTCAGTTTGTTTAAGTGTGGAGGGCGTTACCAGAAGTGTCAACACAACAATGTGGATTATTGTAACATGGCTTTTCTTTTTCATAAAATTTACACGGGGGATTAAAACGGGATTTTCTGTTTAGCCTTGCTTGACCTCCCCTTGGTTCTGTTTTTGCGAGCAGCAACGTAAATAATCATCGGTGCTGTTCTGTGACCTGCTCTGGACCAGACCACCAGGTTTACTTGAACCTGAAATGTATTATATGTTGAAGTTAACATCTTGGCGTTTATGAGCTGAAAGCCAGTTTTCAATAGGAAGGAGGCTCTCATTAAGCCTACCCATGTCTCCATGGTAACAGAGGCTGAACTCATAAACTCTCCAAAGCAAGTTGTGAGTTCATCTTCCACAAAAAATAACGGGGTCCTATTTTTCTAATGCATTGTCTACGATCTATGGTCAATGATATTCACTTGTTATATTTGTTCTCTCTTGTTCCATTTTAGCCAGATGGCATGAAAAACTGTCGGTTCTAAGATTTACTCTTGGTCACTCATTTTTACATGTCTCAGGGTAAAAAGTGGAACAAAGGACATCCTGCAGCACAAAGACAAATCACCCACGGGACTTGCGTAGGAAGTAAGGCTACAACACCAACCTCAACCACAACATTATTTTATTTTTTAATTGTTTGCACAAAAAAAGAAAACGCACATAAAGGAAAAGATAAAAATGTGCAAGAGAGGTAATAAAAACCCAAACGGGCTTACTTTGTTTCAATTTTCTTTTAAATACAGATAATGTTGTATATGATTCACTTACAGTAGTTGTTTTAAACTGTGCCAACACCTTGATGCATAAATGAAAATTTAGCAACGATGGTCTACAGAAGGGTTATGTAAATCATCCCCCTTCCTTGTAGAGTGTGAATGATAATTAGAGTTAAACTCAAGGAAATTATGAAAAATATTTAGGTAAAGATGATGTAATAAATATGACTTTATACATCAAGATTACTGTTTGATAATTATTCACATCATAAATTGTTAATAATTGTAATTTTTTTAAAAGAAGTGTGGATGGAGCTAAATATGAAGAGTTAGTAACAATTCTTACAGAAGATTTTTGAAGTTTATGAATGGATGTAAGCAAGCAGGATCGGTACTAGCCCACATTAATTTACAATTAGAAATATGGCGATTAATTAAACTATTGTACAAGTTTAATAAAGTACTTATTTTTAAATGGCGTTTAATCCTTTTTTATAATACCTAAAGAGTTTGAGATTTCTTACACAAAGATTTACAATGATTCTTTAAACAAAGTTTCTCCTCAATATAGACACCTAAAAACTGTTGATGAAACGTTGGAAAGTAAATTATTAACAAAATTTTTACTTTTTTTTTTTTCCTGGATTTTAATTCTTAAAGAAGATGAAATTATTATTTTTTTTTTTACATTGATGATAGTCACACAATGGTTTCAGTTAAATTGTCATTATTGTATGTTTAAGTGTTCACAACAATACAAGCCCAAAGTTGTTTACAGTAAAGACTTGGCCTCTGTGAGCACACGGTGTGATCTAGAAGGCTGAGCCAGTTTACTGTGCACATGCACAACGGTACAATGAGGCTGACGCATCCAACTGGGTTTGATGTGACCGTCGGTTTCTCTCTGCAGCATGGCTGGCTTTGGAGAAGTGGACTTGTCGGTGAATGCCCCAGCTCTCTCCAAGCTGAAAGAGCAAGTGGGAGAGGCCTCCGCCCCCGCCACTCCAGAGTGTGCCATCTGCCTGCAGAGCTGCGTCCACCCCGTCTGTCTCCCCTGCTCCCACGTCTTCTGCTTCCTGTGTGTGAAAGGTGCCTCCTGGCACAGCAAGCGCTGCGCTCTCTGCCGACAGGAAATCCCAGAGGACTTCTTGGAGCGTCCAGTTCTGCTCTCTCCAGAAGAGCTAAAAGCTGCGGCTTCAGGACTGAGCCGGAGTGGGGGTGGGTCCCATGGGGACTACGCCTGGTACTATGAAGGGCGAAACGGCTGGTGGCAGTATGATGAGAGGACCAGTCGAGAGCTGGAGGAGGCTTTTGTAAAGGGCAGGAAGAGCACAGAGATGCTGATTGCAGGGTTCCTTTATGTGGCAGATCTGGAAAATATGGTACAGTACCGCCGGAACGAGCATGGCCGCAGACGCAAGATGAAGAGGGACGTCGTAGATATTCCTAAGAAAGGAGTGGCAGGGTTGAGGTTAGAGCCTGAATCTGCCTCCGTTCCTGCTGATCCAGCTGCTGTGTCAGCATCAACAGAACGTGTGAGCTCAGCTGATGGGTCAGACTCTACAGACCAGACGCAGTCTTCATCCTTTGGGATCATGCTGTCGCTGCCCCCTGTTAGACCTCAAACACTCCTGGGCCGCCATCCTAACAGCCCTCTTTCTCCTTCACCCTCAGCCCTGGAACAGTCTTTTTCTCAGCTTCTAATCAGCCAGCCAGAGGAGGATGAAGAGGTTGAGGATGACGAGGTAGAGGACGAGGCGTACGAGTTTGCATCTGGAAGCAGTGAGAGCGAAGAAGAGGAGGAGTGTGACCAAAGGAGAGAAGAATCCGTAGCACAAAGAAGACTCGGGCAAAGACAACTAAGAGAGAGCCAGCCAACCCGAATTCCCCCGAGAGGCATGCCATCCACCTCTGTCCTCAGTCTCCGGTCTCGTAGTCCGGATGGACAGTGCACTGTGACAGAAGTGTGACAGGAGACCGAAGACTCTTCTGGAGCTTTTATCAGTTCAGCAAAAAAGTTTAGAAACCAACCTGCATTGTTTTGGTCCCATGAAAGGAAAAGTACCTCTTGATTTTTATTCATCTAACCAGATAATGTGCCATTTTTTTTTTTGTCCTTTTGTCTATTTTTTTCCCATCAAATTGGAAGTAGTTTAATCAAAGATCTTGGTCCATTTGAATGTCCTTGTTTTCTAGATGATCGACCAGCTCTGTTCACTAAAACGACACCTTCAAAGCCAGTTTGCAGGATGCAACTTTGTTGTTGTTAGTTTCTGCTCTGCTGACAAAAATAAACTCCTGCAAGGTTCTGCAGTAAACTCGCTCAGTTCTGTCCTCAAACAGAGGTAGGAAAAATCCACCACTCAAGGGGCTCTAAACATGTTTGAAATGATTTTTAATGCACTTGTCTAAACTGTTTTCACACATTTATTATTCTGGTAGTGCTTCTCGCAGTAGCAACAACTGTTTAGTTTCTTTGTTCCCCACGAGTTGTGCTGTGCAGCTCGTGAACAATCCTGGACCAGCCGTGTGGTTTTAGCTAAAGAAGTTTACTGAAGGAAGGCAGTGACGCGTCTCGAATATTTTCATAATGTTCAAGGTAAAATTTGCATTTGCTTCTTTAAAAAATTGGAACATCGGTGACTTTACAAAGTGCACAAAAGAACCTGCTACAGTTTCCTGTTGGCATTTTCTAGACAGCAAGTGGCATAATGTAAATAAAACTTGAATTTCTTTTTAAATTATTCTTTTGGTAGGTGGACTAAAATGTCTTTAGTGACAGCGGTGACTCGTCTGGGCATTGTGATGTCTTTGTTTTCATTCAGTCCACCATCTTTAAAAAAACATGGGTGATCAATAAAATGATGTTCCCTTTGGTTTTGATTGAAAGAATGAGAAGCTGTCACCTTGTGGAGAACATGAACAGTGGTTTTTGTTCCATCTATAATGATTGAGATGAGCGTCTCGAGAATGTAATCTATTTGAATCTGCACGCGTGTGAGCAGAGGGTGGTTGTACGCTCAGTTTTAGACGCAAGTCTTCTTTGATCATGACGCGTTTGTGCCGTTGTGAACATCTCCGGGTGCTGAAAAGCTGCTGGCCGCTCCACTGGAAAGTGTTTATTCGTGCAGAGACACATTTGGATTTCTATTTTTTGACACGCTCATCTTAACAGAGCCACTACCAAAGCTGCGACACTGACGTGCACTTGGATGAGCTTAGTTTTTTTTTTTTTATTTACTGCAGCTGCTATTCTTCCAACCATCTCTTCATGGTTTGTCTCTGTGAAAAAACTTAAATTATTGTTCTTTGTGTGTTTTTCTCATGTCAAGCTAATAAAAGTTGATTTATCATCAATGATTTAAAATGTTACTTTTATCAGAGAATGTTACAGCTGATTTAATTGCTCCAAATCAATATGGCTACTACAAAAATGCCATAACTCAGTTTTGCAGACACGGAGTTAATATTCATCAGTGTGGTAGTAGTAGCAGAGTATCATCTCCAAAGCCTACTCCAAGTTCTAACGGATCACAGGAGAAATCCCTGATTGGCGTAAAATCTGTCAGTCCTCTATTTATTTAATTTATTTATTTCTCTAGTTTAAAACTCCTGAAAGCTGGCAGGTGATGTTCATCCACCTCCTTTAATTATGGGCAGTATGCAGTGAGACCAGACTGTAGTGAAGGTGCAGTGCGCCTCTAGTCCACAGGGTGCCGCTGTTGTACAAACTGACCCAAGTCTCCAATGGTCTTAAACATGAGATATGAAATGTATCATTTAAATATTAAATTACTTATTTCATGATTGATTTTAATTTCATGATTGATTTAATTTTGTCACCATACGTTGGAAGACTGAATGTGACAAAATGAAATAAATACACAAATATAACAATTAAATGTATCGTTTAATTACAAATGTCTCATTCCTCAAGCCACTCCTGAACCAGAGACATCAGAAGTGAGGAGACAAAGAACTGGACTCTGTGGTCCAAACGTCCTCTTTTCAGATGAAAGTACATTTTCATGTCATTTGTAAATCAAGACCCCAGAATCTGGAGGAAGAGTGGAGAGGCCCAGAATCCACGATGCTTCAAGTCCAGAGTGAAGTTTCCACAGTCGGTGATGGTTTGGGTCCATGCCCTCTGCTGGTGTTGGTCCACTGTGTTTTCTGAAGTCCACAGATCACTCAGCATCTACCAGGACATACAAGAGGCTTCATGCTTCCATCTGCTGACGCTTTATGAAGATTCATTTTCCAGCAGGACTTGACTCCTGCCCACACTGACAAAGGCACAAAAAGCTGGCTGTGGAATATTTAGATTTTTCATTGTTTGTAAACCATAATCATCAAAATTACAATAAATAAAGGCTTTGAATATTTCCCTCTACATATTCAAATTTTGTGTTTTACATAACCTGTATGCGTTAAACACTTTCTGTAAACGTTGACAGGAACCCATCAGCAAGTGAACAAATCCCTCTGATGACAGCCAGACGGATTCCTCTCATCTGGGATCAAGTTTTCTGCACAGAACAAGAGTTTGATCAGTAAAATCTGTGGTTTTTATGATAAATCCCAAACTATTAGAACTATAAAAGTACAACCATAACTCACAGTTAATGTTTGGACTGTGTGAAAACTTTGTTTCTTTGATTTTTGTAAACCTGCCATCCCTAAAGCAGCCAAGTGAAGAAAACCACAGGCGCTTCGTGGAGTCGGATCGTGACTTGAATTAGAATCGCAGCTTTGTGGGTCGGGTTTGGGCTGGAACCTGACCAGAGTTTTTGTTGAGCTGCGAGTTCTGAATATTCAGTGCACAGATGTTTCTGTTTTAGGGTCAGACGTTTACATAAAAGACGCTCGTCCTGAAATATCACGTTTTGCTGCAGCGGCATGTTTCTACCTCCTGTCAGGGATTAACTCACAGCTGGAGTTACTAAATTAGTTCAAAACGTTTGATGTTTCATGAATGATCCAAATAAAATTAAATGTTCACATTAGTGTTTTGTATAGAATTGATAATAAATCACAATTTCTCTTTCGTCGATGTTAAATTAACGTTTATTCTCATCACTTATGTGTGAATGTACAAACTGTTAATTCATAGTGGTAAGCAGAGCAGAGGTTAGAGAAGGTGGGCCTGTGATTAGAAGGTCCAGTTCAACTCCCCGGACCAAATACATCAGAATGTGTGTGGAAAAGGTGAAGCACCCACACCTGCCTCCACCCTCATTTGCTCATGCACTCTGGGCTCTTGAGCAAGGCACTTAACCCCCCACCACCTGCTCCCAAACAGGTCTCTTGTAAATTAGTCCTCATGACTCAATGAGACTACCTGTAGAAATAAAGGTAATTAAAAAAAAAAAAATATATATATATATACATATATATATATATATATATGTCGGAACCGCACAGCTGGACCTCTCATGGGTCAAGGATGATCCTACTTGATTTCAAGATCACAAACCAAAGGTCAAGGTCACCTGTGTTAAAACCTTGTCCAGCTTCACACCTGAGTAATAGAAATGTCGAACTCTTTGGAGGGACATTTGATGGTGGTGGCGGGGACAAGAGACAGGAGTTAGAGTAGACCTGATTGTTGCACGTGCATCGAAACCTTCTGCCTTCGGTCTCGACATGTAAATGATAAGACCACAGGAGCTGGACGGACAGACGGATCGAGGAGACCGAGCTTCTATATGTTTCCAGACACACAGCTGTTCTTTAAATATGTGCACCATCCTGATTAAACGCCTCCTGGAGCTACTTCACGCTCGAGAACACACAACGTGTGCCCAACGCATACACAAATACGTCTACATCTTCCATAGTTGTGCATTAATCCCGTGTTAAATGATGACCAGTTTGTTTACAACACTTTCTGTCTATTTGAACCTTTTAATGCTGATTTGTTCCTACGTATCCCACTCAAAGTCAGTGCACATTGTGTCTGCGTTTTACGCGGAGTATTTCTACACATAACCTAGAAATTCACAGACGGGGTATCTCAGTGTTGCAGGAGCCATGGATGACTTCACTCCCACTGCAACTCATCGGCCTAACACCATTAGAGCCTATCGAGTGTCTTCCTAATCCTGGTGCTACTGAAGCATTTATATCAGCAGAGTATCACATTATTAGAAGGATGACGCCTGAAATCATAAAGTACAGGATAAGCCTCATTTCTAAATACAGCGTGACATGATGGAAGAAAGTATTTTTAGTTTGTATCCTATGTATTTGGTGAAAACCTCGACAGGTCTTATTATATTTAGGTCAGTGTATGTCTCGGAAAAGGTGCCGTACGGATGTGAGAGCATGCCATTTTCAAACTTGGACATACTTTTCAGCATTGATGAGACCTTTTCTGATGTGCCAGCTGCTAACATGCACCCCCATATCATCAGAGAAGCAAGGCTTTGAGCTGTGTCTTGATAACAGGCTGAATGATTCTTTTCCTCTTTGGTACAGAAAATGTGTCATACATAGATTTATACGTTTAAATTTAATTTTCTCTGACCACAGAAGTGTTTTCCACTTCCTTCGTTAATTTAAACTAAGCTTTAACCCAGCTGACACACACAGCTGCATTTATGGATGTTCATATATGGCTTCTGTGTATGATAGAGCTTTAACCAACATTTTCTGATGACACCATAAACTGTGTGATTTGTGGACGTGTTCCTGAGCTCATGCAGTGATGTCTATAACAAAATCAGACCTGCTTTTAATGCAGAGGCCCCTGAGGGCCCGAAGATCACCAACATCCAGTAATGACTTGCAGCCTTGTTTGGCTGAGCTCAGGGATTTCTCCAGTTTATTGAACTTTTTGAAGATATTATGCATGAAAGGATATTTAAAGTCCCCCCATTTTTTTGTTTAGGAAGAATATTTAGCAGATTATCCATGCTGCTGATCTCATGCTGCTGATTATTTCATGCTGCTGTATTCATTCGTACTCGTCTACTCACACAGACTCATGTTCGTGCTGCTGTTGTTCGGCGTATTGTTTTGCACTATTAGTGTTCAGCGTATTTCTTAGTTGATATCTTAGATCCTTATTACTGTTTCATTTTACAATTTATATTTTTGCTATTGCTGGATGTAACTGGGACCCTGTGTACACAGTTTCGTTCCACGTCATGTACCACATGCAGCGAGAATGACAATAAAGAACCTTGACGTTGAATATTTTTAAATTGTTCCACTATTTTGAAGCACAGTTTCTGCAGATTGGTGAACCTCTGCCCATCTTTACTTCTGAGCGGTTCAGCCTTTCTAAAACGCTCTTTTTATGAACCGTCCTCATACTGATCTGTTGTCAATGAACCTAATTAGTTACAAAATGCTCTGCAAGCTCTTTCTTATTCAATTCAATTCAGTTTATTTGTAAAGCACCAAGTCACAACAGAAGTAGTCTCCGGGCACTGAACTGAAACATTCACATTAAAAAGTCAATTAGTAAAAGTTATCCATCTAAGCAAGCCAGCAGATTGCATTGAGTCTTATTAGTTATTAATAATAATACCCCTGTATTAGTATAATCTTATGGATAATCTTATTTTAGAGGGGATATGAACTCTGAATGAATCATAAAGTCCTACACAGCAAAATCTGCAGTGGTTTTTTTTTCAGCGTTAATAATTTTGAGTTGATGGTTGTTGATTTGGGAGTTGTTTTGACACTTGTGGTGATCGAAAAGCTCCGTGAGTGGTGTCAATCAAGCAAGTTAAATGTTGTTAACATCTGTGACTGAGTTAGATTCACTCCAGGTGGAGTTGATAAATGTTTAAGTTG